GAACTTTAATAACACAAAAATTTTATCAAAACTTAAACCTTCTCATTTGTGATTTTTGATCCAGCTATGTCTTTAGCCACAAGAAGACATGGAAGAAGATATTCAAACTTAACTTCTTACTTGTTCATGATTCTTAATCTAGGTATGTCCTCCACGAGAAGAAAATCTGGAATTGTTCTTTTATCCACCTCAGCCAGAGGACTACACATTGGAGCCACTAATGAACATGACAGTGGGAGATGTTTTGCATGACAATGAGTTTCGGTCCCCAATTTGAAGCTATACCAAGTTCTTAAATAAATTTATAGTTAACTATGATTATTAGTCCTATGAAGAAACAACGTAAACTCATTTTGAAGGACTAAAAGCTACCCTAGTGCAGTAAGCATTGATAGGAACGCTGAAGTAGTGCCATGTATGTGTAAAAGACTATTCTGCATTGGCTAAAGGAGAATAGCAAAAGAGGCCTTTTGATTTAGGCATGAAAGAGCTAGCTGGCTGCAATTGAAACATTCTTTCAATTTCCCGAAAATAATCTCCTCAGGCCATTAATCAAGTCCTCCACAGAATATTGATTCGACCAAGCGCTGTAGTTCTCGCCTTATCGGCAACGCTATTGTTTGTTCTGCATGTGTTGCATAGCTGTTGGAGTCTCTATCAGTCTACATATTATCGATGCTTAAGATGTGTTTTTGTGTATTATTGGAATAATTATCAAAATATATGGTTGTAGTTTAAGTCTTAAACCTTTTTATAAGTATATCCTTGTGTATTGTTTTTAAGAACCTCTTAAGATTGAATGGAATTTTGCATTTTCTTTTCTCTGTCCATATATATATATATATATATATGAGTTTTGTACCCAACAATGTTAATTATTACATGTTATCTATGTTACACCCAACCATGGAGAAAAAGAAAGGATATTTGGCTGCAATCAGGTGTCCATGGGTTTTAGTAGTTGTTCTATTTGGGTCTTTAAACCTTTTTATAACCAAATTGGTCCACTAACTTTTAAAATGTGGTAAAATGAGAGCAATTCATTACAACCTAATAAATGGTTTAGGTTCACAATGGTTTCCATGGGTTCTTATTCATGTGGTGGTGACCATATAGGAAATTTACTTTTCATTACGTCCGTGTAAATTATCTCCAAATTAAATTATTGGTCCTTAGAAAATACACATTCAACACCTCTGTAATTGTGTAATTTGTTGGTTGATAAATAAAATCTTGCTATCATTTCTTGTCCAAAATAATAAATGTTGTGTGCAATTCAATTCAGGCGGTTTCTGGTTGTAATGAAAGCCAAGTGGTAGATTGTCTTGTTTAGATATGACCTTATTCTTCAGACCATTACGCCCATCGTATACCTCTTAGTGTTGTTACTTAGAGTAGTAATATGACTTGTAAGCAAAATCGTGTAAAATTAAGCGTAGCCAAGTTAGCTAAAACAATGTACTCTTCTCGTCACTCAAGTTAAAATTTATCCCATGTAATTTGAATTAGATTACAATATTGCTCGAATATAAAAAAAAAACTGATCAGAAACAATTGGAAGACCAAAATGAAAGAAACCCCAAAGTAAAGGGAGCAAAAGGTGAACTTACACCATAAGCTCAAAGACTTGGGAAAAACACTAGTCAACTTTCAAAAGTCCAGTGCTTTGAGGGTTAAGTGAGGTCTTTGATGAATGTACATAAGTACAACTTCACTCAAAGACTTGTTAATGTTTCTTTTATTATTATGTTGTATCAAAAGAAAAATATTCTTGTGAAAGTAGTTTATTAGAACATTTAAATGTTGAATAGTGTATTTTGTATTGTTTTTTCGTTTTTTATTTTATTTTTTATTTTTTGCAATCCTTTTTAACGGTAAGTAGCACTGACTGGTATAGTAAGATTGAAAATAAAAGTTTTAAACAATTATAAAAATCAAATCTAACAACTAAAATACCGTCACACTTAATACTACATAGCATTAATGCCATGCCGTTACTTTTGCACTGTGGTAAATGTTTTATCCTATTTTTGTTATTAAATTATTGGTTTCGGGTACTTCAATGTCATGGTTGCTAATGTAGTAGACCAAATGAAACAATGAATCAATGAGTGTGGCAAAGGGGAATTCGAATCTGAGATATAATTTTGGGAAGAGAGGAATGATTAGACTAAGAGTTAGGTTGTCACATGAAGAACTTAATTTGAAACATTTTAGGTTGTGGTCCTTAGTTAGTATCTCGTAAATTAGTATCCTCATTTCTTAGAGGATCTCTTAGGAGAGATGTAAAGAGCCTTAAAATAAGTACTTTACATTTTCGATTGGTCAGAAGTTGTTTAATAGGCGAGATGTAAAAGACAGACCTTTTTGAAGAATGTAAATTTGTATATTCTTTTCTCTTCTATTTTAGGTGGATCCAGCCAATTAAAGAGATAAAATAAAATAGCAAGGTTTCAAAAACCGCTAGTCGAGATTTTTTTATTTTAATTAGATTAAATATACATTTTTTATATTCATGAATATATTTGTAAATTTTTTATGAATTTTCTATTAGTTTTTAAGTCCCAAACTTATCTTTTTAAGTCCATAAAGAAAGGTGGGCTTAGTTTTAAAGCGAAATGACCTGACTTGAAACAAAAGCCCACCTTTTATTATCTTTAACTTATTTCGTTCAGAAGCCTTCATTTTCTCAATTAAGGATAACAATTTTTATTTTTTATTTTTTGAAAATATATTATTTACACTATAGAGGTGGGGAAGTGAGCTAAGCCAACAATTTATATTGACCAAAAGCAAAAGTTTATTGAGAGAAGTTAAAAAAAAACCCCTTAACTATCGTCGTCTCAATTTCTTTTTCTCTACAACTATGGAAAACTCATCGTAACTTCTACATCGTTCTCTCTCTCCCCTCCCCCTCCCCCTCCCCCCTCCCCCCTCCCCCTCCCCCTCTCTTTTCACTATCTTACATCATCGCCAGAAGCATGGGGGCCTCACAAAGTGACGCATCCAAGGGACAACTAACCACAAAGTCTCGCGTCATAGAGCCGCCTAGCCTGCCAAACAACCGCCTAGCCCGCCCAAGAGGCTGCCTAATAGCATTGCCAATTTTCTAAACGATTTTGGGTTCATCAAATTTACATTTTTTTCATTGAAGTAAAACTCACATTTACATTTTGAAAATGTAAAACAAGATGTAGATGTAGCTTTACATTTCAAATAGAAGTGTTGGCATTGAAGATGCTCTTATAAGCACATGTAACTTATTATTTCTTCGACGTGAGATTTATACTGTCAACATTGATCAGTATGAGAATAAATTCCACTTAAACATACCAGGTAAGTGTTGAAATCTTCTAATTGTACACGTTTGCAAATTCAACATTTGTTATACCTTGGTCAACATTCTTGTCACTCCACATGGACACGCTCAGTAGACGTCGACGTAATGCTCTACCTTCACAAACAAGGAACAATTGTGAGCAAGGCTTTCGAACTTTTATCAGATTCCAGAATGTTCTTGAGTTCTCTCGATTTTATGTTTCCCTCCGAAAAAATATTGGAGAAAATTGGTAAAGCTGAACCTACAGAAGGTGGCAGATAAGAATCATGAGATTCCCCGATGAGGATTTTTTTTTGTAAAGATTTTACAATGTTTGGATGAAGAAATTTATTATTATTAAGAAATTTTAAAATAATGGGATTTTATTTTTTTAGAATTTGTGAATTTTCTTGTTTGGTTAACAAAAAAAAAAGAAATTGAATACAGAATTTCTTATTTTTAAACTCTCAATCATAGAAATTAGAAAATAACACCTACTTACATGGAATTTAAACTTGGGAATTGGAGGTCCCAAATTCCAAGTTTTTTTTCTAGGTGAAAATTCTAAAATTCTATATTTATGAATTCAAACAAAGGAATTGGTGCATGTCAATTTATAGATTATGAGTTTAATCCAAATTCCAAGTTTATTTTTCTTATCCAAACATAGTGTTAGGGATTTTTACATTCTATCCGTTTATTGTATATTGTGCGATTAGATTTTGTTAAACACTATTTATGTTTAATTTTAAATGAAAAAATTCAAAATAATTCCTAACTGCATAATTTAAATCCAAGATTCCCACTACAAGACATAATAAAATAAACAAAAAAATTAACGCCTAAAAGGACGTTGATAGGATCCACTGTTTATGACTAAGGTAAAACTTGTATGGGAAGCTCAAGACTTAATTAAATTTGCACCTTGAGTTTTAGTAGTTGTTCTATTTGGGTCCTTAAACCTTTTTTTTTTCGACCGAATTGGTCCCCTAACTTAAAAAAAATGTGGTAAAATGAGAACAAATCGGAGAAAGTTTTCAGTATACCGGAAACAATGCCCGGTACACCAAAATATCATAATACAATTGGTTGAAAAATTATTTTTTAAGTTTCAATTGTATTAAACACCTTTCCATTGGTTCGTATTCATGTGATGGTGGCCATATAGGAAATTTGGTATTTTTGTATGTATGTGTAAATTATCTCTAGATTAAAATTTAAATTATTAATCCTTAAGAAATTTACACATTTGGCACTTATGCAAATGTATAATTTGTTGGTTGATAAATAAAATCTCGTTGTCGTTTCTTGTTAAAAATAATAAATGTTGTGTGCAATTCAATTTAGATGGTTTCTCCTTGTCATGAAAACTAAGTGGAAGATTGTCTTGTTTAGATAAGACCTTATTCTTCATACCACTATGGCCAACGTATAAACTCTCCTGTATCTATTAGTGTTGTTGCTTAGAGTAGTAATATGATGTTGTAATTAAAATCGTCTAAATTTAACCATAGCCAAATTAACAAAAACAATGTACTCTCCTCTCATCACCTTAAAATTTATCACACTGTAGTTTAAATTAGATTATAATATCACTCCAATAAAAAAATGATAAGAAATAGTTGGAAGTCCAAAATGAAAGAAACCCCATAAGTGTAGGGAGCAAAAGATGAACTTGTACCACAAGCTCAAATACTTGGAAAAACACTAGTCAACTTTCAAAAATCGAGTGATTTGAGTGATAAGTGTGTCTTTGATGAGCGTATATAAAAGCAACTTCACTCATTCTGCTTCCCCACACAATCCAAAACACTGATCAATAATCACAGTTCAAAGTTGAGGGAGAGAGATGAGCAGCAGCAGCAGCAGCATCACAACTGAAGGAGGAGATGCAGTGCATGCGAATGTGATCCTACTACCTTCGGTCAGATTCAAACCCACTGATGAGTTGCTGGTCAGCTACTACTTGAGGAGCAAGATACAGGGCACCGACTCCCTCTTCCGCCACACCATCCCTGAAATCGATGTCTGCAAGTACGAGCCCTGCGATCTTCCTGGTAAACCCATTAATCTATCTCACTTTTTCTTCACTAGCCATACATCTTGTTTCCAATGGATTCTGCCGTTGTTTATGTAAATCTATACCATCTTGTTTCAGTTTTCTGTTTTTCTTCATTCAGAATTGAATTGGGTTGGTTTCGATTTGTTGTTTCCTATTGTATGATGTTGTATGCATAAATTTATGGTCTTATCAGTTTTTGTGTTTTTGTACCTCAAGAATTGGAGTCCAATGTTCCGGGTTCAAACCCTCCTCCCTCCCCTTAGTATAGCTTAGAGTAGTAGTATCACTTGTACCTCAAGAATTGAAGTTGGTTGGTTTCAATTTCAATATATTGTTTTGTGTTGCATTTCGATTTAATTTCCCTTTAAATAGCCAACCCATATCTCTTTCCTATCGTATAATATTGTTGCACCAAAAAATTTATGATCTTGTTTCAGTGTTTGTGTTTTTTGTTCTTCAAGAGTTGGAGTGGGTTGGTTTCAAATTTTGAACATTTTGTTTTGTTGTTGGATTTCAGCATTCTTCCCAGAAGATCATGAGAAGGAGTGGTTCTTCTTCAGCCGGCCCGACTACAAGTACATCAACAGCACTCGCTGCAACCGGGCCACGGATCAAGGCTTTTACAAGATCACAGGGAAGGAGCGTGAGATCAGGGCTGAAGAATCCAAAGCTGTGATTGGGAAGAAGAGGATTCTGACCTTTTACGAAGGTCGTGTGCCGAAATCAAAGAAGACCGATTGGGTAGTCCATGAGTATTATCTCACAAAAATTGAGGTGGGTTCTAGACCCACCAAGCAGATGGACTTTGTCCTCTGGCGCCTGAAGAACAAGTCAGCTAGTTATAAGAAGCCGAAAGATGATCCAATCCACGGCGAATTAGCTGATTCAGGTGCTAACTCGGAAGATGATCAAGCTGCTGTGAGTGATGTGATTGCAGAGCCAGTGGAACATCTGGGATACTTCTTTGATAACCTTCAGATTGAAACTCTGATCTCTAGTAAGTATTGCTTTAATTAATTTCCCTGCATTAGCTGCTGCGTTCCTGTGCAGCATTTCTTCTTTTTTCTGTACTCCTTTCATGTAGTATTGCTGTTAATGTTGTTTATTTAAAACCTTTCAATTTCAGTGGAATTTTGTGTTATATTCTCTTCTCATTTTTCAGTCCACACAAGAAGAAAAAATTGTTTCCACTCTTTCCTTTAGTTAGGGAGCAATAGAAGAGGAAAATTCACTAGAGTATTGACTTAGCGCATTTTGATGTGTCGGGGCTCTTTTCCGCCCTCCCCCAAAGGCCGATACTCATCTCACTTGGGACGTCTTATCTAAAAGCTCATCAAGCATTGCCATATGTTTTAACGTGATTGATCGGCTTTAAGTTCCTTTTGGCTTCCAATCAAGTTAGAAATTGGAACCAAAATAATGCTAAAAATCTGCACGATTTTATAACATAACTGTGTTATCTATGTCACACCCAACTAAGAAGAAAAAAGACCGGAAGGATATTCAGCTGTAATCAGGAGTCCATAGTTTCAGCAACTCACATGATAAAATCTGAGAAAGTAGAACAAGTCCACATCGAATGAATGCAAATTTACAACAGCTTTTTCTTTATGTAAACGAGGGGAGAATATTCCAATCAAACTTAAAATCTCTATCAATATTGGAAAGAGGCGCACTAATTTAGGGCATTCGGATATAATTGGAATATGTAATTGCTACTGAATAATTATTTTGAATTATTGTATTCAGTTGTTTGAGTTTAAGTTTGGTTTCAGCTTTATGATGATTTCTAGTGGTTTAATCTAGGGAATAATAGTTTTAGCTAGTGGCAGCATAAGCAAAATAAGGTGTATAACAAAGAGAAGCATATTCTCCGCAATTTTGCAATTAGAGTTGAGTGATTTCTCCTATGTTTATGAGTGACATTCATGATTAGCAACTTTGAGTTATTTTGATGCCCCTAGTCAAGTGATTTCAGAATATATGTTTGATCTCATCATTTTTGCCTATTTGTTAAGTGTTGGGCTAAAAAATGGAAGAGGCATCGAGACTAAAAGATAATTCTAAATCAACCCGGTTATCAAATACAAATATAATGGGTGTGAAGACAACTCCTCAGACATATTTTGATACGAATCAACTCAAAGCACAAACCTCGATGAACTCGCCATCTCTCTCTTTTTTTTATCTTTTTTTTTTTGTTCAAACGATGAACTTGCCATCTCCAATTATTGGACTTGCGCCACTACAAATTAATAGGCCAAATTTTCGTTAACTGCCCAATTAATTAAAAAGGCACAAAGTCGCTCTAAAATTAAAGGCCAAATTTTCGTTAACTGCCCAATTAATTAAAAAGGCACAAAGTCGCTCTAAAATTAAAAAGGCACAAAGCCGCACTCAAATGGCAAGAAGTCTCACCAAAATCCACTTTGATTGGTTTGGACCCACAAAAAATATATAGCCAGTCTAGTACTAGATTCTAGACACAACCACAACCAAATTTACCCCCAAACACTTCAAACACCATATCTAAATGGGGATTTGGATCCTCTCCTACGCTAATGGAGAGTATCCTCCTAACCAAGAGTTGTGGGCCGTTGGATTTTTATTCAACGACTACAAACAGGTGGGTCCTTTTAAAGTTATAATAATTATACCCGTTAGATGAAAATCTAACGACCCATAACACTTGGTCAGGAGGATCCTCTCCATTAGCTCAGGAGAGGATCCAAGTTCTCTAAATGGCCATCCAAATTTCATTGAATTACGAGTCGACTTGATTCTCCTAAAAAAGGATACGTAGGCAAGCTACAAAATCAAACAAACCATCATTCCCCTTAAATGACATTTCTTCGTAATTTTAATCAAAGAGTGTTTCTCTTGTGGCACATTACAAAATTACAATTAATCGTGAACGGGTCCAAACTTAAATAACAAACCCTATTCTTTTCGGGTAACGGCGAACTTGTGATGGAAGAAATTTATTCTCAAATTACAAGTTTCCGTCAACACTCTCAAACTAATTTTTCTTCTCGACTTATAGGTACAACGTTTGACAAGTATAGGATTTTTGAATTTGATCTAACGATTTTCAAACCCTCAATTAAAACCAATAAGATCAACTTTATAATCAAATACATGTGGATACCAAATTGATATGCTACTCAAGAAAAATCGATAGTCGTCTCTAGGGAAGAAAAGAATAGTACAAGCTTGAATTTTGGCTTTTCCATCTCCAATTACAAAGTAAAAGACATGATAGGAAGTGGTGGGATCCACACTCAAAGGCATTTCCGCACACGTTTGTAAATTCGACATCTGTTATAACTTTGTCAACATTCTTGTCAGTTGTCACTCCTCATGGACATGGACATGCACAGTAGACGTAGTGACGTGATGCTCTGCCTTCACAAACAAGGAACGATTATTTTTGTGAGCAAGGCTTTCCAACTCCCATGTATCAGATTTGAAATCCTTGTCCTGTTTCTTGAGCTTCAAGTAAAAGAAATTATTACAACAGTAACTTTAACTAACTGTTAACATCTTTCACATTTTTATATACTCTATTATTCTCTTCATGGTCCACCATTTCATCCGGAGTGGGGTAGAATCTGAACCCTACCGGGTCTGAAACCCCTCCTCCTCTTGTTTTTCTGTTGCTTCCCAATGTTCCCATGTGTTTATGTGTGTGAACTGAGAAGAAGATGCAACTGCAAGTAGTTTACTCACTTCAGAATACTCCAGTAGTATTTGATCCCAACCAATTAAGTCCTGGGTTTCTAAACAAGTCAGCTGAGGTGCCACGCGTTTTGTTTCTTTAATATATTTTGCCCTTTTGATCAACCCCTCTTGGCAGTTTTCCTTTTTCCTTTCCCTTTGAGGGACTGGGAGACAACCCCTCTTGGAAGTTTAGCTTTTAGAAGTACTTTTACGTTTGGAATCGGGATTCTCTTCCCTTTCATCCCTTCCTACTTGAACAATTAAATTACATCAACATCTTACATTAATTTTGTTTATAGAGACAATAAGGTAAAAAATAAAGTGTGAAAAGCGGAGAGAGAAGGGGATAAGAATAGGAGGGAGAGAATCCTACTACGGTTCATATCATGCGGTGGTTGCCATATAGGAAATTTACTATTTTTGTATATCTATGTAAATTATCTCTAGATTAAAATTAAAATTATTAATCCTTAATTGTCACATCCCGGCTAGGCCTGGCAATTCTTGACATGACCCGATAATCCGACACGACACGAAATTAACAGGTGTTCAGGTCGACACGATAATGAATCGAGTCGTAATCGGGTAACCCGATAAGCAACTGTTAAGATAACGGGTTGGTTCGGGTATACACGTGTGTAACACGATACACGATAAGCAAAATATTAATTTAATAATTTTATAACCCCAAAAAAATACTATAATAATTATATATATATATATATATATATTAATTTAACAATTTTATACCCTTAAAAACTATAATAATTATATATATATATATATATTAAATTAAATATTAAAGACCATTGGATCAGCTTAAATATATAGACCATTCAATTTCTTATTATATGTACAAAATAAATAAATTTAAATCTACTTAATAAATGTATATACACCATTGAACTTGATGGGATACGAATTCCACGAAACTAATTTCAACGATCCAACCGTCAAACTTGTTTGTATATTCAAAGATCAAGTAACGGGACAAAACGTTTCGACAGTTATCAACGAAAAATCACGATTTAACGGTTATTTTAACTCCGATTTTGATGATTTTTTACAGCTACATTCCTTGACCCTATATGAATACAATGAATGAACTTGATCTTCAATTTAAAATATTTACACTAGTGGATACCAGATAATCTTATGTTATACTTGATGAAAGTATGAATAAACTCTTAAGTGTTAGTGAATCTATTGTTTTGATAGGATACGCATTCTACGAAACTAGTTTTAATGATCCAACCGTCAAACATGTTTGTATATACTTCGAGATCGCATACGCCAAAAATTACAAAAAACAAACATTCAGAGATGAAGTAACGGGACAAAACTTTTCGACGGTTATCAACGAAAAATCACGATTTAACGGTTATTTTAACTCTGATTTTGATGATTTTTTACAGCTACACTCGTTGACCTTATATGAATACAATGAATGAACTCGATCTTCAATTTAAAATATTTACACTAGTGGATACCACAAAATCTTATGTTATACTTAATGAAAGTATGAATAAAGTCTTAAGTGTTAGTGAATCTATTGTTTTGATGGGATACGCATTCTACGAAACTAGTTTCAATGATCCAACCGTCAAATATGTTTGTATATACTTCAAGATCGCATACACCAAAAAATTGCAAAAAAACAAACATTCAGAGATCAAGTAACGGGACAAAACTTTTCGACGGTTATCAACGAAAAATCACGATTTAACAGTTATTTTAACTCCGATTTTGATGATTTTTTTACAACTACACTCATTGACCCTATATGAATACAATGAATGAATTCAATCTTCAATTTAAAATATTTACACTAGTGGATACCATAAAATCTTATGTTATACTTAATGAAAGTATAAATAAATTCTAAGTGTTAGTGAATCTATCATTTTGATGGAATACACATTCTACGAAACTAATTTCAATGATCCAACAATGAAACTTGTCTGTATATTCTTCAAGATCGCATACGCCAAAAATCACAAAAAACAAACATTCAGAGATCAAGTAACGGGACAAAATTTTTCGACAGTTATCAACGAAAAATCACGATTTGATGGTTCTTTTAACTTCGATTTTGATGATTTTTTACAGCTACACTCCTTGACCCTATATGAATACAATGAATGAATTCGATCTTCAATTTAAAATATTTACACTAGTGGATACCACAAAATCTTATGTCATGATGATCGATGAAAGTTGAGGATTTTGTAAAAGGAATAACATGCAAGCTTTGAGTTCCATTGCCAATGTTTAAACTTTTGAGAAAGGCTTCACAACCTTGAAAACAAAAACTCTTTCATTTTGCATATCCTTGCACATTTAATATTTTGTAATAGATTAGTAGTGTATGGATATTTGTTTATTAGGCTCTTATTTTCGAGTGTAGATGTAATACTTAAACGACAAATGTGTTTTAACGTTTTGAAGTAATATTTATGTGGCAATGTGTGGTATGTGCAAATTTAAGGAAAAAAAAATATTTTTCTTAACGGGTCAGGTCATTTTATTCGTTGGGTAAAGTGACCCGACCTGTTAAGGACCCGTTAAGATAACGGGTGTGACACGACACTACCCGTTAAGATAACAGGTGTTACACAAAAACGACACGAACACGATAAACACGACCCGTTTGCCAGGCCTAATCCCGGCCCAGGCCCCCATCACATCCCGGGCCCTGCCTTCGTCGTAGCACGATATTGTCCTCTTTGGGCCCTAACCACGCCTTCACGGTTTTGTTTCTATGAACTCACAAGAGAACTTCCCAGTGGTCACCCATCATGAGATTGCTCTCGCGCGAACTCGTTTAACTTCGAAGTTCCTACAGAACCCGAATTCAGTGAGCTCTCAAAAGGCCTCGTGCTAGGTAGAGATGAGAATATACAAATAAGGCTTACATGATCCACTCCCCTAGGCGATGTGGGATGATACAATCCACCCATCTTAGGGGCCCGACGTCCTCGTCGGCATACATCCGGCCAATGATTGGCTCTGATACCAAACTATCACATCCCGACCCAGGCCCCCACCACATCCCAGGCTCAACTCCGCCGTAACACGATATTGTCCACTTTGGGCCCCAACCACGCTCTCATGGTTTTGTTTTTGGGAACTCACATGAGAACTTCCCAATGGGTAACCCATCATGGGAATGCTCTCGCTCGAACTCGCTTAACTTCGGAGTTCCGATGGAATCCAAAGCCAGTGAGCTCCCAAAAGGTCTCGTGCTAGGTAGAGATGAGAATATACATATAAGGCTTACATGATCCACTCCCCTGGGTGATGTGGGATGATACATTTACACATTTGGCACTTTTGTAAATGTATAATTTGTTGATTGATAAATAAAATCTCGCTGTCATTTCTTGTAAAAATTAATAAATGGTGTGTGCAATTCAATTCAAATGGTTTCTAATTGTAATAAAAACTAAGTGGAAGATTGTCTTGTTTAGATAGGATTTTATTCTTCAGCCCACTAGCCTAGGGTATATAATCTCCTACATCTCTTAGTGTTGTTGCCTAGAGTAATATGATTTGTAATTAAAATCGTGTAAAATTAACCGTAGCTAAGTTAGCTAAAACAATATACTCTCATTTCATCACCTAAGTTAAAATTTATCACACTGTAATTTAAATTAAATTATAATATAACTCAAATAAAATAAATTATAAGAAATAATTAGAAGACCAAAATGAAAGAAATCCCGTAAGTGTAGGGAGCAAAAGATGAACTTGCACCACGAGCTCAAAGACGTGGTAAAACACTAGTCAACTTTCAAAAGTGGGTCTTTGATGAGCGTATATAAATACAACTTCACTCATTCTGCATCCCCACACAATCCAAAACACTGATCGATAATCACAGTTCAAAGTTGAGAGAGAGAGAGAGAGAGAGAGAGAGAGATGAGCGGCAGCGTCGCACCTGAAGAAGGAGATGCAATGCGTGTGAATGTGAGCCGACTACCTGGGTTCGGATTCTCCCCCACTGATGAGTTACTGGTCAGCTACTACCTGAAGAACAAGATAGAGGGGACGGACTCCCATTTCCGCCACGTCATCCCTGAAATCGATGTCTGCAAGTACGAGCCCTGCGATATTCCTGGTAAACCCATTAATCTATCTCACTTTTTCTTCACTAGCCATACATCTTGTTTCCAATGGATTCTGCCGTTGTTTATGTAAATCTATACCATCTTGTTTCAGTTTTTCTGTTTTTCTTCATTCAGAATTGAATTTGGTTGGTTTCGATTTGTTGTTTTCTGTGGTGATTCCAGTGCTCTATTTCTATTGTATGATGTTGTATGCATAAATTTATGGTCTTATCAGTTTTCGTGTTTTTGTACCTCAAGAATTGGAGTTCGATGTTCCGGGTTCAAACCCTCCTCCCTCCCCTTAGTATAGCTTAAAGTAGTAATATCACTTGTACCTCAAGAATTGAAGTGGGTTGGTTTCAATTTCAATATATTGTTTTGTGTTGTATCAAGAAACAAAAATTTTGTTTTGTGTTGCATTTCGATTTAATTTCCCTTTAAATAGCCGATCCGTATCTCTTTCCTATTGTATAATATTGTTGCACCCAAAAATTTATGATCTTGTTTCAGTATTTGTGTTTTTTGTTCTTCAAGAGTTGGAGTGGGTTGGTTTCAAAATTTGAAAATTTTGTTTTGTTGTTGGATTTCAGCATTCTTCCCAGAAGTTCATGGGAAGGAGTGGTTCTTCTTTAGCCGGCTCGATTACAAGTACAACGGCACTCGCTGCAACCGGACCACGGGTCAAGGCTTTTACAAGATCACAGGAATGGATCGTAAGATCAGGGCTGAAGAATCCAAAGCTGTGATTGGGAAGAAGAGGATTCTGACATTCTACGAAGGTCGTCTGCCGAAATCAAAGAAGACCAATTGGGTACTCCATGAGTATAATCTCACAGAAACTAAGGTGAGTTCTAAACCCACCAAGCAGATGAACTTTGTCCTCTGGCGCCTGAAGAACATGTCAGCTAGTTATAAGAAGCCGAAGGGTGATCCAATCCACGGCGAATTAGCTGATACAGGTGCTACCTCGGAAGATTATCAAGCTGCTGTAAGTGACGTGATTGCAGAGCCAGTGGAACAGCTGGGATAATCCTTTGATAACCTTCAGATTAAAACTCTGATCTCTAGTAAATATGGCTTTAATTAATTTCCCTGCATCAGCTGCTGCGTTCCTGTGCAGCATTTCTGCTTTTCCTGTAAACTTTTCATGTTGTATTGTTGTTAATGTTGTTTACTTAAAACCTATTAATCTCAGTGGAATTTTGTGTGTTATATTATCTTCTCATTTGTTAGCCAAAATGTTAAGTGATTGATTGTGTTTTTTTTTTCTTTTTGTTTTAATTTTATTTTTATAAAACTTCGATGGTATAAGAAGAATTTTATTGATAACGAAAAAGAAGTTACACATAATCAGGGAAACAAAAATCTAACCCCTCAAAAGGATCTCCCGTTCTTCCATCAAATATTCTACTTTTTTTCGGATACTCAGGTTCAAATACCCATGGATTCGCTGTTTGCTTATGAAAAAATCAAAGCCCTTTATCAGATTTGAATCGATGACTTACATCTTACCATAGCATTACTCTACCACTGAGTTAAAAAGGCTCACTAATGAGTACCACATCTTTAGAATTGTAACCTTCTCATGCCATATAAGCTACTAATACGTGCAAAGCAGTTCGTTGCCTATCGTAGCAGCACCATCTGCTAAAATTTGTCCCTTTTTAATACATTTACCTTGCGAAACCTTGGGTTTTTGGTGCACACAAGTATTTTTGTTGGAACGTTGATATATAACTAACAGAATGTTTAGAGTAGCCCCATTTCCCAATAAAATGATCATGTCAATATCAACATTACCCTTCTAGAAAAGCAAACAATAAAGATACAAAGAAAAGAGAGGGGACATGAAACCTAATCTTTCTAAAACCAAACCTAAAAGTCTAAACCTGCAGAACAGATTAAGCAACATCACAAGGTCAAGAAAAAAAAAGTGAGCCAAACCTATATGCCCATTTGCAAATTAATTTGAGAAGCGGTAGCCAGGCTAGAAAGTATAGTCTGAAAAATAAGCAACACGAGTTGCCAATGGAGGGGAATCATGTCATACTAAAGTTGGAGAAGACAAGTCCACGTTAGCAAAATTGTTCGCAACAGCATTTCCTTCGCAATATATGTGAAACCCCGTCCCAAATTTAGTGTATTTTCATATTGACGGATTTATGAAATTACCATTCTGCCCTCGAGTTGACTTTGTTTCACTGTCTCGTTGAAACACTTAACGTTAATTTTCTTAAATTATTCTTAACGTACTTATCGCTATGAACGTGTAGGCACAAACGGATTTGAATTCGGACTTCTAACGAAGATTCTACGTTCGAACGTCGAACGTTTGTGAATATTTTGTGTTTCATCTTACACATTCTTGAATTGTGAGTCACTGGGACCCAATTTGAAAAGCTTGTCCCCTTACCTTTTCCCCTTGGACCCGTCCATCCCCCTTCCTCATTTTCTTTTTCTGATTTTTGTAACTCTCTCTCTCCCTTACTTCTCACTTTCTCCATTTTCTCTCCATCTCTTCCCTCTCACTCCCTTGCTCTCTCTCTGCATTTATCCTTCTCCTCTCTAAAAATCACACACAAAAACCATCCCAAACCACCACCACGTGGACCACGAAGCTTCAAGAAACCCCGTGCTAAGCCAAGGAACCCTCTAATGATGTGGTCACTATTCATCATCTTCCCCGACATGTTTTGTGATTTTTTCCGATGTTGGTAAGCTTTTAGAAACTCTTAGGATGTGTTTTAAGAGTAGATCGAAGCTAGTTTTGAGTTGTAATACGTGTTAATCGCATAATATAGCTCGGAGTAGCTTTTCAAAATAACCCTGCGAGCACCGTCACTTTCAAGGCGTTTTCCTACCAAACCATGGTGAGTTAACGATCGTGCAAGGTACCATTCTCTTCATCTCATTGAGTACTACAACTTTGGTTTTGAATCACTCGATTTGGTTGAGTATTGAAGAAGTTATGAGCGTTTAAAAACTAGCCCAGAAACTGGCCAAACTATGACCTGAAACCGGGTCGACCCGACCCGTTTAACCTCAACCCAGATTCATTTGGGCCAGGTTATCTAGCCTAATAACCTAAGCCCAAACCCAATTGAGCCCATCCCAATAATCTGGTAACCTAGAAACCCAACCATGCCTTTGGGCCATGGAGTTCGGCCCAAGCCCAGAAGTCCAAACCCTAAGACCAGCCAGCGCGTGGGTCCACGTGTGGGCCTGCGCGTGAGGCTGACCCTTGGCCGGAGCATAGAGCACACGCACCTCCACTGGAGACACTGTGCTCCACCGCCGTCCACGGCGGCGCTGGCGACTTTTCCTGCCAACTTTTCGATGACATGTCACTCGTTGCAACCATGGGTCCACGCGCTGGCGACACGTTCGTTTTCTAAAATTCAACCGTTATGATAGAGTTTTATTAATTGGACCTTTTACGTGCTTAGGTATGATTATTAGCGACGTTTCCGTCCCTCATTTTTCACGGCTCTTCGACGACGGAGTATCTATGAGTGGTGTGAAATCTCGTTCCTAGATTTCACTGTTATAATCTACGTATTTGTATTATTGAGATTTTATATTATTTTGTGAGAATTTATATTAATTTATTTGAATTTAGATTTTAATTAAACTAGTTATGAAAAGTGAAGTTTGGGAATTAATTATTTAAAATTCATAGACCGTTCGAGGTCATAATTTATATTTTCGAATAGAGCTCGATCTCACGAACGCATATGTGCAAACCGTTTGGAAACGGAGTTATAACGAAAGAGTTATTAACATTTGAAGTTAGGGGCATTTTTGTAATTTTGCCCTTATTTGGAAGGCTCCAGAAAATCTGGAGCAAAGGATGTGCCACGTGTGTGGCTAGGATGAAAGCATAAGAAGAGATGGACGGCTGGGATAGAAAGGAAAGAAAAGAAAGAAGAGAAATGAGAGAAAATGAGGGGAAGAATGACCAATCGAAAAGAGAAGTAAGGAGGGGAAAGGAGAGAGGGGAGAATGAGGGGAACCGGATCCCCTCTTCGATTCGGTTGTATGTTGACCCGACCTGGCCATACTTTCCAATTCCAGCCACTGTTGACGACGGGACCGATGCCAAAATGATTCTTGCTACTAACCTAATCGTTCTGTCACCCATTTCCAACCGTAAAATTGTGAAAATTGGATTGATTTTGGGTGAAGCCGCACTGGTGGGTGCGAGGGATGGAAGTGGCGATTCCACCATTTTGGAAATCAACACCATTGACTACCACCATGGCTAGGCTCCCTTCAACCTCATGAACAAATCCCAAGCAGTGGTGAAGGCGTCGGAGCGAGTATGAGGGTCGAATCGAAGCACACAATTTTTAGGGTTTCCGACTGGTTTATGTAAAATTGAGGTGTTTCCCGGCCAAATTGGCTTTGGTCACATGTATGAAACTTACTCTACTCATTGAGATCCTCATTCTGGTTAAATTTGAGAATTTTTGGAAATAGTTGAATTTTCCAGCGAGTCGGGGCGACCGACCGCCACCCGCGGCGACAGGTGACCAGTGGGCTGATGATATCTTTTTAAATATTATTAGGTGCCCTAAGTTCATGTTTGATATCCGTATGACGTAATTTGATTGTTTGAACTTAGTTTCATTACGATACCTTACTTGATCAAAATATGAATCGATAATCTGACTGTTGGATCGTCACTAAACCTTAATGAATTATAGAACATAATATTTGAGGATTATAGAAACTTACGGATCGGGAACCCGACGTACGAATTTTCCCAAATTGGATTTCTAAGTTTGTAAAATTAAATGTAGACCACCACTTGAATTTGCGATTGGCGGAGATTCAACCGTTGGATCGTAATGATGTTTTAGTATGTTATTCTAGAAGCATAATATGGACTTTGGGAAGTTACAGATTAGGAATCTGATTGGCGGATCTTCCAGTTTAGATTTCTAGGGTTGTGGACCCTAATCTCGACCTTGATCGATAGTTGACTTTTTAGTTAACTAGCATGAGTTCTTCTAGCGTGTTGCTGATCTTAGAGTGCGATTAAGATTTTATGGAGCTTGATGGGCTCATCGTGATGACGTGTCTTCGCGATTGACATGCACATCGATTTATGCAATGATGGCATTATATGGTGATATGCTTGTTTATTTTATGTGATTTGACTTATGTATTGAACTTGTTGTAGAATGTGTGGTTGATTTGTATGATTGGCTTGATGTGATGAAATGTGAAGGCTAGTAGTGGACCGTTAAGCCATTGTCATAGGGTTTGTTGTTTCGACACTTGTTTTCCTTATTTCACTTTTTGCTTCATTCAGCCCTTCTAAATTGAGTACTTGGTTCTTGTATTATTTCTTCGAGCCATTGATATGTTCCTTGGCCTTCAGCTCGGTTCCGTTGAGTGATCGGGAACTGGGTATCCGCTGGGGTTCCGTTGAGAGGTCTGGTTCCCTGCTCCGTCTGGATTCCGTTGAGTGATGGTCCGGAATCCCTTATACTGCGTGATTCCATTAAGTGATGGTCCGGAATCATATCCTGCCTTGGATTTTATTGAGTGGTTTATTATGCATTGTACTCTGTGATTCCGTTGAGTGATGTGCGGAATCCCTTCTATTCTGCGATTATGTTGAGTGATGGTCCGGAATCGTATCCAGCTTGTATTTCATTGAGTGGTTCTATATGCATTGTACTCCACGATTCCGTTGAGTGATGCTCCAGAATCATATCTACTCGGATTCCATTGAGTGATGGTTCAGAATCCCTTTTACTCTGCGATTCCGTTAAGTAATGGTCCAGAATCGTATCCTGGTTTGGATTCTGTTCAGCTTCAGCGATGTATGCTTTGGCCGAACTGTGTCACTCTAACCCTGCATTTTAGTGTATTGTACATGTTATTATTTGGTGTGATTATTGGATGCTGTTGGATTTAAGTAATGGTCCAGAATCGTATCCTGGTTTGGATTCTGTTCAGCTTCAGCGATGTATGCTTTGGCCGAACTGTGTCACTCTAACCCTGCATTTTAGTGTATTGTACATGTTATTATTTAGTGTGATTATTGGATGCTGTTGGATGTAATTGTTATCATTATGATAGACCGTTGATCAATATGGCTATAGATTATTATTGCGCTTCGTCGATTGTTCCTTGAGATATTGCATGCATTGAATTGTGTAATATGTTAACACATGGCAGTTTAGGTGATGAATATTTGAGACAT